CAGGTGGCAGGCCCCCTCTGAGAGCTACCAGCAGTGCCACGGTGTTTGTGAACCTCTTGGACCTCAATGACAACGACCCCATCTTTCAAAACCTACCTTTTGTGGCTGAAGTACTTGAAGGCACCCCTGCGGGGGTCTCCGTCTACCAGGTGAGCTTCTCTCTCCGACCTGAGAGGCTGCGGTCTGTCTCCCTCAGCTCGTCCTGACCAGCCAGCGATGGGCAGCAGGGGCCAGCCTCTGTGCTGAGCGCTTCGCAGGGGCAAGTCAGGGGAGGCCAGCGCAGACCACAGTCTCCCACAGTCCAAGACAGGACACATCTGTGCCAGGCGTGGAGAGCCAGTGTTCTGAGAGACGGGGCTGGAAGGCTTCCTGGAGGAGGAGGCGCTTGAGCTGGGTCTTGAAGGACACGTGGATTTGGAGAGGCTGGAGGGACAGGACCACAGGAGATGGACAAAGACAAAGGGAGAGGGAGGCAGAGAGAATCCTGGGAAGCCAGATCAGAGAGTTTCTCGGGGCCTGATTATAGAGGTCTAGCCCCAAACTCTCAATACCCCAAGCCTGTAGGTGGTTCTAGAACACTGGGAAGTTGGACGTGTGTAGTCCATGAGTCCTGCCTCCATGAGGCAGCCCCTCTCCTGTGCTTGCCTGTAAATGCCCAGGTAGCTTCACACAGTGGATGGGATTCTCCCCATTTTGTAAGAAACTTGGGAAACTCGCCCAAGTTCCTGTGGCCAAGAAGGGGTAGGGCCTAATTTGAACCCAGCCCCTTGGCCTCCTGCCCCACCACCACCCTGCTGGTCAGGGAGGCCCTGAAGGTGCTGGTTCCAGGGAGATGATGCCCTTTTAGAAACCCAAAGGCCCTTACAATCAAGAGCATGGGCTTTGGAGTCTGACCAGTAGGGGTGTGGATCCCCAATCCCGCCTGTGTGCTGGGTGACTTGGAATAAGTGACTTAATCTCTCTGAGCCTCCGTTTTATCACCTGTGAAATGGGGATCATCGCAGTACCTGCCTGGCTGTGCTGTAGGGATTCGGCCAGACACAGTGGAAAGCACCCGGCACTTAGGCTGCGGGGAGTGCGAGGTAGCTGATGGGCTCGTGCTGTGTGTACGGTGAGCGTTTATACCTGAGAGACGGGATCCAGGGGCAAAGGGTTAGCCTGATCCCGTTCAGAGAAGACCGGGTGTTCGTCGGGATGCCAGAGTGGTAGCCTTGGCGATGCCCTGCAGGCCCACTGTCCCTCAGTTTCTTCATCCACAAAAGGAGATCAATGGTGTTCTTTGACTACATCGATCCAGGGAGCATTAAGTCTCTCTAGCACAGCGGTCCTCAACCTGTGGGTCGCGACCCCTTTGGGGGTCGAACGACCCTTTCACAGGGGTCACCTAAGACCATCGGAAGCACATATATAATTACATATTGCTTTTGAGATTAATCACTGTGCTTTAATTATGTTCAATTTGTAACAATGAAAATACATCCTGCATATCAGATATTTACATTGCAATTCATAACAGTAGCAAAATCACAGTTAAGAAGTAGCAACGAAAATAATTTTATGGTTGGGGGTCACCACAACATGAGGAACTGTATTAAAGGGTCGCGGCATTAGGAAGGTTGAGAACCAGTGTGTGAGCAGAATATTCTCCCCAAACTCCCAGCAGGGGGAGCCTCGATCCAGGGAACAGCAGCCAGTCCCGGAGGCGAGGTCTCCAGATAGGAGGGAGCCGGGAGGACGGAGAGAGGATGAGCCCTAAACCTGGTTCTCCAAGACTCACAGCAGAGGAAGGAGAGGCCTCCCAGCACAGCCTCTGAGTTCACAGAGGAGCTGGCTCAGAGCCGTGAGAAGGCAGTGGAAGGAGCTGGGGTGTGTCATTTGGAAAGTCTTCAGATGCAGCAAGTGGGTTCTAGCTTGAGGTGTGTGGTTCCCAGGCTCCCTCTACAACCTCAGGCGATAATGATTTCTGCTGGATGTGCAGAACGTTCTCGAGGGACTAGAGCTGTGAGCAGAACAATCCAGAAGGAATGAGCTCTCCATCCAGGGGAGCATTCAAGCTGAGTCTGGATACCCTCTTGTCCAGCTTGCTGGTGTAAATTAGACCAGATGACCTTGACATTGCCTTTCAGTCCTGAGAGCCTTGTCTTGACGCAAAGCTCTATTTTAGTTATTATTACATATTTATTTCACACGCCTTGAATTCTCTTTCATAAAAATTTCAACATATCAGGGAGGGTCTTGAGTCAGGATCTCTCATAAGAACTGGAAGTGCAGCTGGGAAGAGTGTAGGGATTTGGGAGGAGGCTTGCGATGGCTTTTTCTATTTTGTTTTTTAAAAATATGTTTTAATTGATATTTTTAGATAGAAAGCGAGAGATAGAAACATTGATGAGAGAGACACATTAATCAGCTGCCGCCTGCACGCCCCGCAATGGGGATCAAGCCTGCCCTGACCAGGAACCGAACCCGGGACCTCTTGGCTCACCAGCCAGGCTCAATGGCTTTTAAAAAATCAAATCTTCGAATGACTTTTAAAAATGGGCCCTGAAATCATCTTATTTTCAAATCAAAACAAAGCAGGGGCGGGGGTCCTGGCAGCTGGGTGTTGTCTGTAGCTGAGCCCACACGATCGAGGGGGTCTGAGCAGGAACGGCTGCTCCGAGCCAGCGTCGGGCCGGAGGGTGAGGGCGAAGGCCGCACACTGCAGGGTTTGGAGGGTCTGAGCCAGATGGGGTGAACCTGTGGGCTTCCTACCCGGGAAAGCGGGGTTCGGAAGGGGGAAAGTTGTGGGGACTGGGCTCTTGTTCGAAAACATCCCTTTCCCACCCCACCCCCGGCCCCACTTGGAGCGTCTGGCACCTCTAGCTCTGACATGCTGCCCCTTAGAGAGCACCTGGCAGGGTGCGTTGGGGGCAGTGGCCCGGCCTGAGGCTCTCTGGGGAAGCAGGTGTGTCCAGCTGGAGGTGAGCATAGGTCCGTGGGAAGGAGGGGACACCTCAGGGGAGAAGCATCAGTCCTGGTGTCCCCATTCCTCATGCGGCCCCTCCCCTCCCTCAGGTGGTGGCCATCGACCTGGACGAGGGCCTGAACGGGCTGGTGTCCTACCGCATGCAGGTGGGCATGCCCCGTATGGACTTCCTCATCAACAGCAGCAGTGGCGTGGTGGTCACCACCACCGAGCTGGACCGCGAGCGCATCGCCCAGTACCAGCTGCGGGTGGTGGCCACCGACGCGGGCACGCCCACCAAGAGCTCCACCAGCACACTCACCATCCGAGGTGAGAGCGCGGCCGTTCCTGCTGGGTGCTGAGCACATGGGCGGCGTGGGGAGCCTGCGTGTCCCCCTGCTGTCCACTGTCCAGGTTGGCACAGGCCATCTTGCCAATGGGGTCTCACCTGGAGCCATTCAGCACAGCAGAGCCTTCCCTTCTCCACCCAGTGGGAAAGCCAGCGAGCCACCCTCTCCCCACCTGGCCACGGCTCAGTGTCCCGGAGCCCAGGAGAGTGGGCGGCCTGGACCCACTGCCAAGACCCCCTTCTTTGGTCCCGGCCACAGCAGAGAGGGCTTGGACGGGGCGGGACACTCGGGGTCAGGAACAGCCTGGGGAGGTGGCAGGGCCCTCTCTCCTTTGAGGGCCGAGTTTTTATTTGGAGATGCAAAGGGACCCTTCTCCTCCCCCTTGCCTGGAATCTCCATGGAAAGGGGTCGCCCTGGGAGGAGGGCAGCTGGGATTCCCAGACGTCCTGAGACTCCCCCTCCCCTCGGCCCTCTCCATCATGCCCGCAGTCTCCGCCTCTACCGGGGTGGGGCCGAGGAGGGCCACTATTCTCACCCACTCCGGCTACATCTTTAATTTTTGCAACAGAACTGGTACATTGGCATGAGCTGTTGCCAAAGGGCCAGGAACAGCCCTGAAATAAGTGTCGAGTGTAATGGGCAAGAGGTGGCCTGCTCCCTGGGACAGCATGAGCAGTAGCCCCGGGGGACAGGGACTACCGGAGGGTGTGGGGTTCTGGTCAGCTCTGTCCTGGCCCAGCCAGCGTGGGGTCCTCGGCTCACGACTCATGACCGGGAGGTACTGACTCCTAGGAAACCCATTTCCCATCGGCCTGTGGTGTGAGCCATGCCTTGGAGCTGGGTGGGCTGGCACAGCAGCCAGGCCCAGCCCCCTGTGCCGACTCTGCCCGCAGTGCTGGACGTGAACGATGAGACGCCCACCTTCTTCCCGGCCGTGTACAACGTCTCCGTGTCCGAGGATGTGCCGCGGGATTTCCGCGTGGTCTGGCTGAACTGCACCGACAACGACGTGGGCCTCAACGCTGAGCTCAGCTACTTCATCACAGGTGCGGCCCTGCCACCACCCCCTCCCAGGTGTTTTGCCTGCTGGGCTGGGGCCAGGGGAGGGGGAAAGACCCAACCTTGACATTGGGTTAGCCCCTGCTAGAGCCTCCCTGAGGATTCGCTCTTGGCTTTGCCCAAGGGCTTTGGAGCTGGGTCCCCAGGGGCCTCCTGAATCTCATTGGGGTGAGAGGACTTACCAAGGTTCAGTGTAGAGGGAGGTGGAGCCAGTGACTCCCAGGAGGAGCCCTGCTCCCCACACCCCGTGTTAGGGTGACAAAGCAGACGGGAGGAATGTGGCCTTGTCCTTCTCTGGGGGCCCTTCACTTAAGAAGAAAATTCCCCTGCGTTTAGAGCAGCGGTTCTCAACCTGTGGGTCGCGACCCCTTTGGGGGTCGAATGACCCTTTCACAGGGGTCGCCTAAGACCATCGGACAACAAATATATAATTATGTATTGTTTTTGTGATTAGTCACTATGCTTTCATTATGTTCAATTTGTAACAATGAAAATACATCCTACATATCAGATATTTACATTATGATTCGTAACAGTAGCAACATTACAGTTATGAAGTAGCAACGAAAATAATTTTATGGTTGGGGGTCACCACAACATGAGGAACTGTATTTAAAGGGTCGAGGCCATTAGGAAGGCTGAGAACCACTGGTTTAGAGGCAGATGGTATAGATCTCTCTAAATGAAATAGTTTTAGCTCAGAATGTCAAGTTGCCGCCACTTGAAGAGCTGTGCAGAAATATTATAAGGAGCCGTGATCGATGAGTGGCGTCTGCCATGACAGTAGGCTTTGCGGAGGCAGCATGCCGTGTGTTAGTCGTTCCTGGAGTAGAACAGTGTCCCAGCATGCTCCAGTCGGTGGAGTCCCTGAGGCGCTGGCATGCGTGTGGATGGGGGATAGGCCTTTCTCATTCCTGAGCCCTCCCTTGGCCATTTCACTGGTTCAGTCTTCCTGCAGCCGTATCACACACATGTTCATATATGCACATATGTGTGTGCACACATCTACAATACACATGCCAGGGTCCCTGGCGCCTCTCCCCCAGAACAAGGGATCCTGGGCTCGCAGCCCATCTACAACTTGCTGCACCAAGATGACCTCCCAGCCCTCAGCCTCTCTCTCCCTTTCAGATGCTTTCCTCCTTCCCTCCATAAAGGGGTCCACCCCCCGCAGGCCCTCTCCTCCCAGTTAGGTCCTCCAGACTGCCCTGGGGAGGCCCAGTTATCAAGACCCCCACACGGCACCAGCGTGGTTCAGCCCCACCATTGCTTGTGTCTTAGTTCCTCCCCTGCCCCCTCCGAGCCAGACTGGGGAGCTGATACTGGAGACTTGAGGGTAGGGGTTTCCCCGAGGGGCAACCATGTCAGAACAAGGGAGCGTGTGGCACCGGCCCATAGGATGACTTCCCTGAGGTGGCCTGTTCCTGCTCACCTGAGAGCCCTCCTAGCCCTGGGATTCTCAGATTTTAATTTTGCACCTTCTTCAAGGAGCCTGCAGTGTCCTGTTCCCAGGTAGCCCAAATCCAGTGCAGTGGCGCCCTCTGCTGCCCAGAGCACCACACTGCCTGCCAATAGCAGGGGAGGGGTCTCCACATTGTTCTAGAGTCCTTTCCTGGCTCCCTGCTACTTCAGGAAGAAGACCTCACACTCCCCCACCTGCCCCAGAACCAGGAAGACTCAGTAGTACCTGTCTCCTGTCCACCTGCCCGTACTTTTCACTCGAGCCTCTGGGAGCCCCTACTCAGAGAACCTGAGATCAGGGACCTGGAGAATGCTCAGCCACCCCCAAAGACCCAGGCCACATTTAAAAGCCCCAGCCCTGAGAACCAAGATGGCGGCATAAGGTACAGATGTGTGTGTGCTGCCTCGCACAACAACATCGAGATTACCAACTATAAGACAAACAGCTATCATTCAGAACCTTGGGAAAGCTGGCCCAGTGGCAGCTCTACAACTGGAAGGAAAGAAAGAAGAGCATTGAGACTGAGTAGGTTGTGCAGAGGCTCCAAGAACGGAGGTACGGAGTCGCGCGCCAGGCGGGCTGCAACTGGATGCGCGGTTTTTTTCGATCAGAAGTGGCTGCAGACTCTTGAGTCCACTGAGCTTGTTTGGGGTGGAATTCTGAGGTCCCAGACCCCTATGGGGAGAGGTGGGATGGCCTTGCAACGGGCCGGAGAGCGAGAGTGGCGGTCGCGTGGAGCTGCCCGCCGGCACTCGCGGATGTGGGGATGGGGAGTCACAGAAAGGCGAGGAGTCGCCGAGATGCCATTGCCCTTTGCCCCGCCCTGGTGATTCGCCAAGAACAGAGGTGTGGAGTCGCGCGCCAGGCGGACTATAACTGGATGTGCGTTTTTTTTCAATCGGAAGGGGATGCAGACTCTCAAATCCACTTAGCTTGTTTGGGGTGGGATCCTGAGGTCCCAGACCCCTACGAGGAGAGGCAGGACGGCTTTGCAACGGGCCAGAGAGCGAGAGTGGCTGTCTCGTGGAGCTGCCCACCAGCACTCGGGGACACGGGGATGGGGAGTCACAGAGAGGCGAGGAGTCACGGAGATGCCATTGCCCCTTGCTCCGCCCTGGTGATTCCCGGGGACTCCGCCCTACTCAATTTACATCCCCACCCAAGCTGTGCTAGTGGTACAAAGAGAACCACCGGTGCTTTTGCAGCCCAGCCCAGCAGAATGCAGATTTCAACTCCTCGCATACGTAAGGGACACACTCAAGAAGCAGAATCAGGTTTGAAGGAAGCCGGATCCGGACCCAGTTGGGCCGGTGACGTGGAACCACTGTACCAGCAAATGCACAGGCAGGTCCACCAGATCCAGTCTCACATGGGACACTGGGAGACGGCAGACAGGCAGTCTGTGCACTTGGTAGAAAACGAAATCCAAGCAAGCATACCAGATATTCAGCCACCAGGAACACCTGGAGATTTTGTCCAGCAAGGAGCCGCCCAACAAAGGACAGAATGCCAAACTTTGTGTTGCTGAGATAGCCCCCGTGGGGCCGGGACGGCCCCAGTGGGGTTGAGACAGCCCCGGTGAGGTTGAAAGGGGCCCGGTGAGGCTGAGACGGTCCCGGTGAGCCTGGGACGGCCCCAGTGTGGTTGAGACGGCCCCAGTGAAGCTGAATCGGCCCCGGTGAGGTTGAGACAGCCCCGGTGAGGCTGAGACGGTCCCGGTGAGGCTGA